CAGCTCGTGACCACGGCTAGTGCAACCTAGTCGAAACGTCGAGAGAGGTAAATACCTTTATTTGCCATAAAATTATTCGTGTTAAGACCCGGTTAATAATTTAAATAATGTTTATTTATTCTGTGTAATTTATGTATTTTTTATTATATACTAGCTACCCACCCCGGCTTCACACAGATGTACATGTATTATACATATAAACCTTCCTCTTGAATCTCTCTATCTATTAAAATAAACCACTTCTAAATCCGTTGTGTAGTTTTGAAGATTTAAGCATGCATAGGGACAGACAGCGACAGACTTTATTTTATACTGTGTAATGTTTTAAAATATAAATTACATTTATACAACTAAATTATATATGTACATAGATATTGTTTAGTTATTCATATAGTATTACAGTGTTTCGCCATGACTGGGCTACAGCGCTTTCAATTTCTACCTAAAAGTAGCTGGTAGAGAATGTCATGATGTTCATGAATGCGACCTTAATGTCATGCATTAAGGTCGCATTTTGTACTCTTTTTACTGTGCAATAAAGAAAGTTATAAAAATCATCTGTGTGACAACCTTCGCCTCATTTCTAGCGTTAACCGACTTGGTTTGTAAGATATGTTCCGTGTAAGATGTTTTTCTTCTTTTTATTCGATACATTCTTGACAGTACGACCATGGTTATTATGTAGTGGGGTAAGAGGCTGATGTCGACCGTCATACAATTGTCTCTACAGGTTGGTTGCCTCTATTGCCTGCTATTCTAGTACAATCGTGTAAGATAAAGCATTGAAATTACAGAACATGGTGGCATAATATGTTATTCCTCTGGAATTGCATCCTGGTATCACGGGCGTCACATGATAACGTGATACGTTCTTTAGGTTGAAATGAACGTTTCGGACTTCATCGAAGCTGAAGACTGACCGTCATCTAGTCTCGATCTTAATCCGCTGGATTATGATCTCAATTTTAGAGAGTCTGGCTCTAAATGATAATTTAGTATCCCTAAAGCAATTCATAAGATCGGTAGTGAAGAATTTTCCCATGGAAAGAGTGTTTCTATTGATAACTGGCCTCGACGTTTAAATAACTGTATTGCAGGCAATGAAGATCGTTTCGAATAAATTCTATATTTTAATAGAAATAGAAATAGAAATAATCTTTATTCAAATAAACTCACTACAAGCACTTTTGAATAGTCATATTTTGATTCTACCACTCATTCGGAATGCAGATTCATCACAAGAAGAATGAGCAAGAAACGTGTGTGTTGCTCTTTTTAATAGATGCTTTTTCATATAAATAATTATAGTATAACAAGTAAGGGGCATGCGATAATCAACATAGAAGTCGCTACGCACGCATTATTAATGTAATCGGATAATATTGTCAGTGCTATAGATTTAAAGTTTTTCTATAAAAACATTATTATCGTTAACGAATTCTTCAATTTTATAGTAAGCTTTTTTGCAAAGGAACTGTTTTATTTGGCATTTAAATCTTTTTTCTGGCAGATTTATAACAGACTTTGGTATTTTATTGTAAAATTTTACGCAATTGCCATAAAACGAATTACTAACTTTAGCCAAACGACATTTAGGTAAAATCAGTTTGTTATTGTTAGTTTGTTACGTAAGCTTTTATTAGTGCAATCACTAACTCTTTTGAAACTGTCTATATTCCTTCTGGCATAGATGATATTTTCATAAATATATTGAGAAGCAACGGTGAGGAACGGTGACGATTTAATGCTTTTATATTATCGTTTAAATTAGCACACATTATTGTAAAAAAAATTGTATCCAAATAGAAAAAATAAAAATGTTTCTCGTTATAATATTTATGGCTAGACTAGAAATTCAGGCACCGGTAACCACTTGATCGGTAGTTCATTTGCTATTCCAAAAAAAAAAACACTTTTTACATTGCGTTCAGTACTCCTATTTGCATAGTTTATGGGGATAAACTGGCCAAAAGGGTTAAGTTCGACAATAAAAATAATAAATCAAAATTAATAATAAATAAATAAAATAACCCTGAACAATTAACACAGCGCCATTTAGTTCTACGGTAAGCAGAGCTTGTGTTATGGGTACTAGACAACTGATATAGACAGAACACACTCAGGCTAGTACAAAGAATCATATTTCTGAGTACAAATATTTGCACCGTGCGAAGAATGGAACCTGCGACCATCGGATGTAAAGCGTTGTGCTAAACCGCTAGACCACCGAGGTCGTCAGATTAATCGCAGTCGTCGATTAATACCAGTTTAAATAAAGATATCTCACAAAATCAGAACGTTCTTCTATAGCAGAGGTTCCCAAACTTTTTTACGACACAAAAAAGTTTATGAACCTCTGCCATATTTTTCTATTTTGGGTAGACCCCCCATTCTTACCTGGTATTGATTTTTTGTAAATTTCTGACTGTAGTCAACTTTAGTGTTAAAATTAAAATTATAAAGTAAAAATAACAAGATGACCGCAGTCGTAGACCCCTTGCAGTTTGACATAGACCCTGGGGATCGATATAGACCACTTTGGGAATCACTGCTCTATAGCTTTGACCAACAATTCACATAAAGCCAAAGTAGACTTAAGGAAGTTAAATCATCCAGCTCCTTTGGACTTTATTCAACCAGCCAAACACCTGCCCCCAGGTAGCGACCTGCAATGGCCCATTTGGAAATAGCTCAACAGACTAAGAACCCAGATGGGCTGCAGGTACAACTTGGTAAAGTGGGGTGCCGCTTCAAGGGAGGCTTGTGACTGCGAAGCGCCATCCCAGACTATGGCACACCTATTGACTTGTCCTTTGTGCAGGATGCTGGGCAGACCTAAAAATGCGCAAGGGTCTTTTTTTTTTTGAGGGATAATAATGGAATACTGCACCCGCCTGCGCTAACGGTTTACGCTGGCTGGGCACCAGTGGAGGATGATAAGATGAGCATGAGGTTAGGTCAGTTAGCCCATCGTGCAAATTTACCAGGAATTTAAGACGATGGTTTCCAGGGGGAACCCTGTGGAAGTCAACCTGACATGGTAGATTCCTAGCAATGGGGTCATTGGTCTACATTACTAACAATCTCATACCTCCCTGATGGTAAGTGGTAATCCTCTATATACATGTTGGTCATCACGACATCATGTGATGTCTATGGTTGATAGGCTGCTATTTTCTAGGACGAAGGTATCATGCCTTGTATCCTGTAATTTTACTGCCCCATTGCCCTGCCCCAGGGGGAACCGCGTGGAGGTCGACCTGACATGGAACATTGCTAGCAATGGGGTTATCAATCCACATTACTAACAATCCCCATCCCCCCAATGCGCAAGGGTCGTCGCGGCGTTCTGGGGAAAATATATTCAAATATATGTATTTAATTGCCGTTAAAACAAAAGAAGACTGCTATATAGTATAGGTAGTAAGATAAAAATAACAACACATCGCTTATAAATTGCGACCGCGTAGACGAGGTGGGTCGCCGCTTATTAATAACGTCTACAGTCATCGTACCCTGAATCATAACGTCAATTCTTTTAATCAACCTTCACAAATATTTACTAACGTTTAACAGAGGGTGACTTGGTACAATCGTCTGTGGGGAGAGGGTAAGGGGTCGTTCATAAGACCCTAAAATCCCTATTGATGGAATGTAGGCACTACAACATCACGTGATGGCTATGGTAGCCGTTTTATAACGTAACTAGCTGTGCCACCCGCTTTATTAAATTATTATGTTAATAAATAATATAGCCTATATATTATTCTGATGTATAAGCTATATTACTGTAAAGTTTCATCAAAATCTGTTCGGTATTTTTTTGAGTGAAAGAGTAACAAATACATACAAACTTTCGCGTTTATAATATTACTAGCTACGCGCCCCGGCTTCGCACGGGTGCACATGTATCATATATATAAACCTACCTCTTGAATCACTCTATCTATTTAAAAAAACCGCTTCAAAATCCATTGCGTAGATTTAAGCATACATAGGGACGGACAGACAGCACTGTCGCTGTCTGTCCGGCCCTATGTATACTTAAATTATACTTTGTTTTACACTATGTAATGATTAAGATTAAGGTTTCTGAAGACTGCGGAATCTTAGAGAGAATGTATAGTGGGCAACATTTTGCTATCACCGCCAGTCAAGTCATGGTCAAGAATTCGTGACGGTCAACGGTGTACGGCTGCTGGGAATGAAACTGTTTAGGTTACGGCTACTGATTAAAATATTTCCTTTCGACAAAAACGCAATAGTATATGCTGTGGGTCATTACATTCTCTCTAATTTGATTTAAAAATGAATCTATATTTTAGTAACTATGTACTCATTTGAAAATCATAAGAGTATAGAGTATTATTGTATATTTATATTTGACCCAAAAAATTAGTGCTGATTGGTAGTATGTATTCACACGTTTCGACTTGTAAATGTAAACTTAAAAGGATTATTTAAAAGAGCTACACACAAGTTTCTTGCTCGTTATTCTTGTTATAAAGTGCTTAAATTAAGTTTATTTGAATAAATGATTTTCTATAGAGTAAAATTTTCTTTCAGACTATCCATCCCCATAGGGAGACGAGTGGAAAGCTACCCGCTAAAAACCACTTAGTGTATTTTTTTTTAATCAAAATATCCTTATTCATGTATGTCTCTTACAGACTCATATTATATGTCAAATCTACTGTCAGTTCACAGTGTTTTCGAGTTAAGAAGAACTGACAAGAAATTCTGCTCTTATTCTTTTCAAATGAGTTTGTATATGTTTACAATAACACAAAATCATTTTTAAATTCGATTAGAGAGAGTAGAGAATAGAGTGACCACCAGAAAGGCAATAGTGAAATCAGTGCTCGTTATCTGTACAGACAAGTCCCATAAGCAGCATCCATTCATGAGTATGACGGTTGAGAATTATCATTCAAAATAGAACTAAGACTCAAGTGCACCTATACAGGGTGGTCGCACATTTCTACAAAATAAATCCTTACCTTGGCAGGTGGTGAACTGGAAGGCTCGTCAAACAACGCCCACACTTTTGGCTTGAGTCTCTGCCACACGCCAAGTTCTCCGGCCAAGTATGCCTCTTCGTACCCGAAGAGTCTGGCGATCTCCTCTTCTGATGGCTTCTCGCTGTCAATGTCCAGTTTGTCAAGTATTGCCAGGGTGTTCTGGAAAAAATAATGGGTATATAATCGATATATCTTACTAATATTAGAAACCCGAAAGATTGTGAGAATAAATAATAATAATAATAATAAACTCAGGACAATTCACACAGCGCCATCTAGATCCAAGTTAATCTACCTAAAGCTTGTGTTATGGGTACTAGATAACTAATACGAATACGTAGATATTTTTTTCGTAAATACATACATATTATAAATAGAAAACACCCAGACCGACACAAACACCCATACTCATAGATACAAATGTTTGTGCCGTGCGAGGAATCGAACCCGCGACCTTCGGAAATAAAGCGGTGTGTTACTCCGCTAGACCACCGAGGCCGTCGAGGGCATGCATGAATGGATGTTTATTACTTTTTCACGCAAAGACTACTCAATGTATATATTTTGATAGACAGACAGTTATATAATTTACACATCGAAATAACACATAGTCTATGTTAAAAAGATATGCAAAGTGGGTGAAATATAATGACAGATATCAAGGAAGTGTGATGCAGACGAAGTTTCGCGCGTCAGCTAGTAAATACATAAATTTCAGTTAAGCATTGCTTCTGAGCCCATAACTGAAATCTGTCATTATCTTTTGCTGAATAAAAAAACAGTAAAAGATAATTGCGATAAATATGAATCTTACTCATATAATAAACGGGAAAGTTCGTATGTATGGCTGGATAGATAGATGGATTATGTACATACATTATGTCACTCTTTCACACAAGAACTACTCAATATATTAAAAAAAAATTACACTAATATAGTTTATACATCAGAAAACACATAATCTCTAAATTTATGTAGTATCCTATAATTTATTTATTTATTTAAACCTCCATCAGTGTACAGTTTGATGCAGTCCTGACTCCCAAACTAGCGTGAGCTGTATATCAGGAGTCAGTTCCTTCCCAAAGCAAGGATAACAGTTTTAATTAATTTACATGTAGACATAAACCTAATTCATATTTTATACAATTTAGCCAATGTGTGTGTGTGTGTGTGTGTGTAGTATATAGCATATATACACATACACATATATATTATATACTATATATACCATTGCATAAACGTACATCGATTTAGTGTCACTATACTCTGCATATTGTATACAGAGGTAATAAACCATTAGACAACAATGCTCTCAATCAATTCTGAATCATCTACCATCTTGTTGATTGCTGTAATAACAATAAATAAAGCGTATAATATAACATAAGGATATGCATACATTAATATTTAATGTATTTTCTCTGCACATAGCTTTGGTGTATCTAAAAGCATCTACACAGATTGATTATTTATATATAGAAATATGCTATGTGCACGTAGTATTATATATTTTTTTTATTTATTTATTTACACCGAAACTTTGCAGTTTCCCAATATATTACAAGAGAAATAGCCTTGGTAATCTGGCGGTTTAGTTCGACGCATTATTTCCGATGGTCGCGGTTTCGATTCCTCACACTAGCTCTGCTTAGCTTAGGATTAGATATATAGTAATTTATTTTGTTTTTAGTAAATTGCTGCATTAGGGTTTACAAAACTAATGTATGCTTATTTAATGGATTTAAAAATAACTTAAGAATTACAAAAAAAAAATTACCACATAGTGGGATAAAATGTACAGTAAAACAGTAAAAGTTTTTCTCCCGAGACTACAGCATGGGGTTTTTAAGAAGGGTACATGAAGGTTTCTTAAGGATTGGCAACGCGCACGTAACATCTCTAGTAACCATTTACCATCAGATGGGCCGTATGCTTGTTTGCCACCATCGTAGTATAAAAAATAAGTACAATACTGTACCCGTTATTTGTGGTATATTAATTAAGTATAGTTACCATAAGTTCTAGACTATTCAAAAATGCAAATAGACTATAAAATGACAATGAAATCGATGAATAATTAAATTATACTATTGTACAGTTCTCTTATTTAAGTGAAGGGTTAACAAAAGGCTTCGAGCTTAACTCGAGTTAAATATTGATTTATTGCTAGCAATTGAACTTAGATGTTCGGAATGAATTCTTGACTACATCAATATTAATGTACACTATAATTACAACAAAGAAATATTATAGCTGTGCCCGCGACTTCTTCCGTATAGAATAGTGATCTTGATTAAATCAAGATCAATATAATCTATTCCATAAAAGACACAGAAGAAATTTCAGCGTTCTAGCTTTTAAAATGACGAGTTTCCATAAAAAACCTTCATCCCTTATTTTTTTTTACCCGGTAAAATTTTACAAATTTTTATTGTCATATTTATTTATGTTTAAGAAATAACCTAAAATTTAGTTTTAGGCTTCTAGTTTAAAAAATGTCGATTCTTCCATACATTGCATCCCCATTCAACCCCTTACAACCCTTTTTTCGCCATAAAAGTAGCCCTTTCTCAGGGTCTAGGCAATTTGTGTACCAAATATAATTTCAAATTCGAATATTTATTTCTGTAATTTCTTTTACAACATTTAAATCGTTTTAGTAGTTTTAGCGTGAAAGCGCAACAGACAGACAGACAGAATTACTATCGCATTTATATTATTAAATAGGATAATGTATGTTTGTGTGTTTAATAAATTTTGGTCGTTATTTTTAAGTATTTTTCTGAACTTATTATATTTTTAGAACTTATTATTTTTGGAGTCTTCGTGAAACGGAGAAGAAGAAAGTTGATGCGTTAGAGATGTGGTACTAGAGACGGATGCTAGGAATATCGTGGACAGAGTTTCGTACAAATGATTCCGTATTAAAAGAACTCTGCAATAAAATTATTTAAAAGAGCAACACGCAAGTTTCTTGCTCGATCTTCTTGTAATGAGACAGCTTTCCGAACGAGCGGTAGATTAAAAAATGTAATGACAAAAGTGCTTCAATGTAAGTTTATTTGAATAAATGATTTTCTATTCTATTGTATTCTATTCTGCATCAGACAACGCCTATCAACCACAGTGCAATCACGCATTCTGACCTTCTTCGGCCACGTATCTCGCCGTGGCACAGTGGGAACTTTGACTCATTTTCATCTCATAAATCTATAACTTCTGTATTAATAAAGATATGTACATGATTTTTTTTCCTGATAATCTTAAATATATATACTTTTAAATAATGTATGCTTTGTGAGTAAAAAAATATTTCTAATAGTTATAAATAATTTAGGAATACAAGAAATATAGAATTTGTAGACTTACATTTATGTCCTAAGAAGTTTATACAGAAATAAGTAAAAGTATCAGCGTAAAAAACCAAAATTCTTATAAAGATAGCTTACAAGTCACTCAAGAGCTCCTTTTCTTCATCAAAAAGTACTAAATATTTTTAATTGGAAGGTTTTCTTAAACTTGTTATGTATGGGTCAGAGGTATATAAAAATGCGTGTAGAACATCTTTGTTAGAGGCTACCCTCGAACATTGTCTTGCATGATGAAGGCTGAACTGTTTATAGTCTTTTTTCCGTGACTCTTGACATCTTCATCTTCATCTTCTGAAAGTTACCCAAAAGGCAAGACAGAAAAGTAACGTATCACTCGTTCACATTTCTTTTCATAACATAAAACATTTTTATTAATTCCTCATATATACTAGTAATTTCTGATGTGCAATGATAATTTTGGAAAAATCTTGTGGCTGTATTGCCGTCATTAGTGTTGCCACTAACTTGCTTCGGCTTATCTATATTTAATCCAAGTTCTTCTCTGAACCTTCTTTGTACATAAGCCTTCTTTTGCTTTTTTAAATTTTTATTTTCTGTTGTTGTGGCAGATCATTTTTATTGATTTGTATTTTGATTGTAAGATAAATGTAAAATAAGTTCCACGAATGCAAAGTTGAAAGGCCATATTGATAGGAAGTTTCATCGACAGGTTTATTTTGTACTTTTTCTAAATTGTTCATCTCTGTGGGTTTTGCACTGCAAATGGTACATACATTTGATTTCTGCTTTAACGTTAGTAATTTCTATACATAATTTTGGCGGATAGCACGATTCTTTAGCTTCACGAATCAACCTGTATGATGGAAACAATAAGTAATTCTTTACTATCAAACAACTCCTCATATTTTCGTACTGTGCCTTGTTCAGATCCAATTTTATGAAAATGCGAAGAGCTTAATGTTTTTGAATACGCTGTTATATGTGCCGGTTCATTAATAAGATTATTCATTAAGATTGCTCAATTCATTCTAGTTTTCTATCAGCAATGCTCGTAAAATATCAATGATGAAACCCTTAAACCCTGTACATATGTACAGGGTTTAAGGGTTTCATCATTGACTCATATGAGTTCAGTATGAAGTCCACAGGTATCAAGCAAGCCTTGTTTTTCCCTTTCTTTATCCGAACTGTCTTCGTACGTTTTAGATCGTTATAGGTCTTCCTCTTTTCTCTGTCGAAGTAGGAGGTTCAGGTTCGCATGTAGTTTTTTCTAGATTTACAGTGAAAATACCATCCTATCAATTGCTATTTTATTTAAAAACTGTTCTTTCTTTCTACCACATTTCGTATAGCGTTGACGAAACTGAGTTATGAAGGACTTCTGAATACTTGCGATAATTTTTGCTATATTCGCATCTGAAGATTCGGTAAAATTATTTCGTAGTTTGATATAGAATCAACATAATTTGTATCACTTTAAATCAATAAGACACTTAAGTCGCGTCTGGTACACGAGAATTCACTCATTGGGGCGAGATGAGTAATTAACAATTGTTTAGTAATGACAAATGCTTATGAAGAACTGTAATATTTCATATGCAAATACATACACTATTTTATACTTAACAATGATCATATACGTGTGCAAAATTACTTGATAAAAAATATTTATCATTATGCGGTATAGAATAGGTCTGTATGGGAATGGGAACTATATACTGTGTGAAATACTTAATAAAAGTAAGGCAAAAGATAAAATATATAGTAATCATTGAGCAAAAAGTATTTTTTTGAATATTCAGACAGAGAATCTCAAATAAAGAA